TGACCATCATAGAAGCAGATGCCTAGTAGAGTAATTAAGAGCTCGCGTCACCCCCAGCGCTACCCACACCGTTGGCCCCAGCAGTGAGCCCCTATCCACTCCAGGGGGGACAAATCTGCGCTGTTGATATTACCGAAGCAGATCAAAGCTAAAAAATCCCGTTTTTTTTGATTCGCGTTGCCATGGTATTGGAAAGCAATAAATGCACATATACGGGCCGCCCGCCTGTATATGCCATTGGTCGCGAGAGGAGAATCGGCGTGCATATGCATGTACAATTGCCTGCACCACATCGGCCTGGAGTGTTCTCTGGGGGCTGAAAATATGTGTTGCGCGCTACTATAAGGGTAGGCGGCTTGGCACGACGTTGAAAACTTTTGACCCTCTGTTGTCTACGAAGGAGTACGTTGTTCCCCGATCACTTGCACACTTTGGCGAGGTCATGACGTGATGTGAGCTGAGTGAGTGAGAGATCGGATGCACCAGCTCACGGCCAGCGGGAAGAAACCGTGGCTACTTGGAGACCGCCAGGGCCAGCAAGAACTAGCGGGGCCACTTGGAGGGTCCCAGGCCTCCTCCGCACCCAATCCCAGGGTGCTACTGGCGTTAGCCGACCTACCGCGCGGAGCTAGGCTATGGCAGGTGGTGTCCTTATGTCCCACTGTTTATTGTGTTTGCGTGTTCCGCGGTCAGTAGGGTTCTGAGAAAAAACGTCGGCTTCGTGCGATCAATGTTGGTCTACACGCACCTCGTTGGTTCGAAAGACATGAAGGCTATATTCGAAAGTTACGCTGGGAGAGCTTGCCCGCGACTGCCGCTAGTGGGGAAAGAACTCCTATCAATCGAAACCATAGAAGTACTCTCACAGCCTTGTGTTCCATCCTCCGGTACACTTATGACATCCTATTAGACTCTTGGGCTGTTTCAGCTGAGACGGCAGCCATGTCAAATGTAGTGGCACCAACTGTTAGAAGCACGCTCTTGCGAAGGTGGAAGGACAGGCCCCTGCTGGTACGGTCAGCCGCTACCCCCCGACTACCAGGGACCGCCGGGACGCTACAGCTATCGAAAACAACATCTTTGAAGCAGCGGCTACCGGAATAGCCTGCGAATACAGCCGTCCTTACCATCGCGCTCCGCTTGCAGTCGGCGATGGAATTGGAGAGGCGACTGTATTCGCAGAGCTACCGTAACCGGAACGGCGCCGGAAGCCGGACTACCCAGAGAGCAGTTGGTTATCCTGGTTGCCACAGGCAATAGCAAAAGATTTTACATCGACCGTCCGCCGCTTAACACCCACGACGATGTCGCAACCGCTTGATCGAGAATGTGGTGAAAAAGTACTATGGGAAGAGTACCAAGCTGCTCTCGCGCGAGTCGGAGTAACAGAGACTCCTCGTCATATAACTTCCTCAACTCGTCGCAAAGCAGTGGCTTAATAAAGAAAAAGCCCCGTTCCAATGTGATCGAGCTGATAAATCCTCTTCACGAAGGACCTGCAAAGAAGAACCACATCATTCAAGAAGTTGTTCCCTCTGGCTGATGGCTTGCTCTCTCCTCAAGTTCGGAGCGGCTAATAGCCCTAGCTAGTGGCTGAACCACGTTTTCCCACGGACCCAGCTGATCCACAGCCGCAGCTGGAACAGCTGCTTACTTGAAAGTTTGATAGCAGCGTGAGGCTAAGTTCTTGAGCAAGTTGTCTTACGGCAATTTAAAAATATAAAGGCCATAATCCACGCTGTTAACAGTGCCGGCTCTGTGGTGTTGGAGGTAAAAAATCTTTCTATTCAGCTGTGGCCGCGAGCCTTGTGGGGCCGCATTGCGTTCGCCCAAAAGCTTATTGAGACTGCAAAGAGAGCGCGAAACAATACGCCTTAGAGCTTGTGAAGGTTTCCATGGCAAGACTGTTCCTAGCAAGGCCGCCACCTAGCCCTACCCCGCCTGCTCGGATACCCGAACACAGCCACTTAGAGAAGGCCTGAAAGTTTATACCCACCCCGGCGGCATGGCGATTATGGATGACCTCATAGAAGAGAGGCTCGCAGAAATTCACGCACCAGAGCTTCTCCAAGTTTGTTGTCACGTCCGCCGTTCCAGCAGGGGCTGTCTGCACCGTCTGTCTGTCCGGCGGGCGCTAACGCCAGTAGACCCTGGGATGGGGCGGAGGCCTGGGCTGGGAACCTCCAAGTGCCGCAGTTCTTGCTGCGCCTGGGGTCTCCAAGTAGCCACGGTTCCCGCTGGCCTGAGCTGGGCATCGATCTCTCACTCTCTCACTCACTCATCCTCGCCAAAGTGTGCAAGTCGCGGGGACCACGTACTCCTCGTCATAGAGTGCAAAGTTTTCAACGTCGTGCCAAGCGCCTACCCTATAGTAGCACTCAACACATTTTCCACCCCAGGCACACTCCAGGCCGATGGGGCACAATGTACATGGCATATGCACGGACGATTCTCTCCCGCCATGCATATACAGGGGCGGCCCGTATATGTGGCAGTTTATTGCTTTCGCATCCCATGGCAACGCGCTCACGGATTTTAGCTTTGATTGCTTCGGTAATATCACACGCAGATTGTCCCCCTGGAGTGGATAGTGGCTCCACTGCTGGTGCCACGGGTGGGTAGCGCTGGGGACTCGAGCTCTTAATACTCTACAGGCATCTCTTCTATGAGGTCATCCATAGTCGCCTTGTTGCCCGGGCGATATACCCCATGGCCCACGTTTCTCTAAATGGGTGTTCGAGCAGCAGGGCAGGGGCTGGGGCCTGGGGTGTGGTCCGGCGAGGGGGTGGGCCAGCCCTGGGGGAAGGGCAGCGGGGGCCATGTACGCCGGGCCGGGAGGGCTGGGGCCCGGGGTAGCAGGAGGCCATGTACGCCAGGGCCGCTTAGCTTACTGGGCCAAGTTCGCGTACGCCGGCCGTCGGCGTACAGCAATGTGGCTGGAGCAATGGCTGGGGGGCCCACCGGGGGTGGGGAAGTGAGCCAAGTACCCCCTTATATATACTACTAACGGGCAATATTTGAACATGTTGAAGTATATGTTGTATTTATGAGGATGACTTTCAAGCCTTCGACTGTGTTTCAGGCTCTTCCCTCTAGCGAGGTCATGTTGGTTTCTGGTCTGTACGTCAGGCTTTCGCCCTCCTCTCGTAATTCCGATGCTTTGTTTTGATCACGGATATAATATTTTTCTTGGTCCAATTTTCGTCAGAGAGTACTGTAGCTTCCAAGAGACTATTGCATTTGGAGAAGAGATATATACTAAGGCTAATTTCTTCCTGTTTCTTGCATCAATTCAATTGAGTGTTCTGTCTTTTATCTGATCTCGTCTCGATATTCGTAGTACTGAGCACTTTGTTCTGACGCCAGTCATTGCCACAACAGTGGAATCCCCATTTCTCGAACGCCTCGATTTCCCAAAACCTCGCTAACTCGAACCAATAGTCGTTTTCACTGTAATTTTACCTCCCATATTTCAAACTCCCCCGATTTTTTTCTAGAGATCGGGATTCTACTGTATATGGTTTTTACTCTCACGAGTAACATCTTGCTCTAAAAATTCCCCGTTCCCATTCCCCGTTTCCCATTCTTCCATTCCCCGTTCCTTGTTTTAAAGTTTATTTTTTTTCTGATTTCCAAATATTTTTCTGGATTTGACGACGATTCTTGGATTGCAAACTAATTTCGGATTTGTAAAAAGTTATTTTGGATTTAACAATCTTATTAGGATTTGTAATAATTTTTTAGATTTGGCAAACTCTTCACCAGTGATTTGCAAAAAACATTGCGATTTAAAATAATTTTAGGATTTCGAAAAATATTTTACGGATTTGGAAATATATTTGGATTGTCCCTTATTCGGCTTCCGTAATTTCCAGTACATGACAAACTATACCTCAACAATGAACAGGGAGTTTAAGACGAACTTTCGTGTTTTTGCTTTTGTTTTTTTTACTTCTTAAAACATAGATTCCAGCCAAAAGACCAGGCATAGCTTACGCACAACGTACATACTTACTGTGCAAATTCATCCAAGGGCAGCTTGTTGACATCAAATATTTTTTTGTTCGATTGCAGGAAGACGGACCTGGCATATGATACATACTCTGTGGAGAAATTAGACAATAAGTAAAGTTCATAACTGTAGCAGCAATGTGACGGACAGTTGTTTGAAATATTTGGCTCCAGTAGATACACTAATACACTAACACTACTGCACTAAGTCCATTACAGTGCGACTACTATTACCTTATTATGATTTATTTACCTTTTGTGCCCATTGTTTTATTTCCAAGTCCTGTGCACAGAATGCTCAAGTTTCTTTTGAATGGAACCTAGCTTCTGTGGATTGACTCTGGCAATTTGAAATTGAAACAATTATCAAGACAAGATGTCAACTCACTCTTTTTGAATGGAAACAACAAATAAAGCATGGTTATAAAATAAAATAAAATAAAGTGTTTACGTACTAACCTTATTCTGTTGATGGGTATCTTTTTGTCTTCTAAAGCCTGAATTAAATAAGAAATAACAAATAAACAAACAAACAAGTAAACAAACAAATAAAGAAATAATTAGACTAAAAATAATAAATAAATTTGCAAATATATTAACAAAATATAAAATTTAATATATCAAATACGAGAGACAGTGTTTCATCACATTTCTAAACACCTCAAATTTCGGCAAAAATACTTGTGAGTCCGTGAGTGGTCGTATTTTACAACTCTCTTGTCGGTGTCTGGAAATGTGATGAAACACAGTCTCTCGTGTTTGATATTACTACTTAAAGCTATCAATGTTACCTTAAGCAGTTCTGGTTCCTCTGAAGGTAATAACATCACAGGGATTGTCGCATTCTTCTGATACCTGGTGAAACCAAGTTTATATATAAAAAACGTCTACACATCAGTAGCAAACATTTTAAACTACATTACAAAGGTAGATGCATCGCAGTGAAAGATTCACAACTTCACATTGTAAAGAGAAACCTGAAAAAAATCAGGCTTGAACGGGATCAAACCCATGACCTTGCGATGCCGGTGCAATGCTCTTACCAACAGAGCTATCACGCCCACCAAGATAACAGCTGGTCATTTTATTTTTCATATTCTCATTCATTTTAAACTATGTTTTCTTTGTAGTAGTATGTGTAACACATGACTCCTTCTAATAAATGGTTTAGGACATCAGGCTAGAATACACTGCTTTGCAGTCTGCTTCTCTCTCAAAATCTCGAAAGGAGCACAAGGCAAGAGTGCAGGGCACGAATGGATTGGGGCATCACTTCTCGTCCACCACCTCCATTTCTGTGCTCACTATCACAGGGATAAACGCTCAACGGATCTTAAATGGGGGTAAAAAATTATGGTGATTATGAGTCCTGTCTGTCTGTCCTGTCTGTCTGTCTGTCTGTCTGTCTGTCTGTCTGTCTGTCTGTCTGTCTGTCTGTCTGTCTGTCCTGTCTGTCTGTCTGTCTGAGTGAATCTGTAGACTGTATGAGTCTGATCAAAATTTTGCCAGGCATTAAATGAAGTGTAACATGGGTTGGTTGTCTGCAAGCGTTTGTTGAATAGTTATACTGCATCATTCTCTAGGTACAGGGGGACAATTTTGTTAATAACACTTCTTGTTCCTATCCAATCACCTGGCTGTTCTTCAGCTCGATGAATGTAGGTGTTGGCATCTTCTGGACAATCTAGTTTGAACCACCCAATGTACTGCGGGAATGTCTGCAAAAGAGAAGACAGATAAGTATTGTTACTGACAGTTTACCTGTATTTTCTCAATTAAACGCCTGCCCCGAATAAACGCCGGGTTCAAATAAACAAGGTCTAGTTTTAAATAAATGCCGGGGGTTTCTAATCAAGAAAATACGGTAACCTTCAGTCAAACAATGTCAGTCTTTACTAATAATAATTATAGTCTCCGTGCAGTTTTCTTGTAGTACAACACGTTGGATCGTGGGATGGTGCAGTAACCCAATGATTGAGTGGTCTAGGTTCAGTGCTGGCCGCCCAGAGGGGGGGAGGGGTGGGTTCTCCCCTATATAAGCTATATCAGGTATGTGTCCACACCAAAGGGTATCATTTTTCAACCATTTTGGTCTGAAAACGGGTATAGAGTTTGAACATTTACCGGAAGGTCACAATTGGGTATCTTTTGCTGCTTGTCTGAAATAGGGTATAGATTTTTGCCATTTTGTCTTGAAAAGGTGAATCTCATATTTTGGGGTGAATATGGGTAAGGGTTTAAAGAAGCGGGTGGCACACTCCCACCACAAATTTTGAGGAGTATCCTCCCAGGGTGCTGGCCAGCGTCATTGTGTTCTGTTCTTGGGCACTTGACTCTGAGTCACAGTGCCTCTCTCCACCCAGGAGTACAAATGGGTACCAGCGAATTGTTAGGGCAACCTGACAAAACTGCTTGCCTGCTTTTTTTAATGTAATTAATTAGACTATTTGTTTCCGTTCTTATGTATAACATTGTAATGTAACGCAAGTTAGCTAAATTGGTAAGTTAGTTAATTATAGGTAACGTAGGTCATAATTCTGTCTTTTTTGTATTTAACGTAAGTAGCTAAGTAACGTAAATAAGTAATTGAACACTGTAATATTGGATTTGATATGGTAACGTAAGCATATAAATGTAAGTTAGTAAAACAAAATGTACATAATTATTAGCAATAGGCAAAATATAATAGAATTTGTTTTTTTTGTTGTATTCGTAATTGATTATTAGAGTTTACTGTATCTCAGTCTATTGTAAAAGTCTTATACAATTTGATAATGTTACCTTAGTGTGTATATAGTAGTGTAACCTGTTTGTTAATAAAGTTTGTTTAACTAAAAAAATTTAAAAATTTAAACAATTAAAAAAAAAACATAAGGAAATGTTCACCAAAGAGAAATTGTCTTGAAACTTATAAAAAATTATTAAGTAAAGCCTTTTTGAAGCCTAGTGGCACAACAGACCAGTGCTTATCTTGGAGTGATTCTCCATAGCATGAAGTGACTATGTATTGCTACTAAGTTCCCCTTTGTATTATCACTATAAGGAAAAATTAGATGCCCATCCAGTGTCCATCTATTGGCTGGAAAAGTACTCTAAAGGAAAAGTACTCACCAAGACCCCTGGCTGCAATATCCGTAGCAAAAAGCACAGCCTCAGTTTTCTTACAAAAGTCATTATAAATTGCCACTCTCTTCAGCTGCTTTTGTTTGCCATACAGAGCCATTAATGGGATTCCAGGACGCAGGCGGCGAAAAGATTCATACATGAATTTTACCTAACAGGAGAAAGAAATGGTAATAAAACTGATGAGAATGAAGAACAAATTGAATACATGTAATATAAAACTGTTACAAGTTAACACATTGAATTAAACCCAATCTTCAGAAAAGTTCGGAAAATGTTCGGAAATGTTTGTATGACTTTCGAACAACATTTGGGAAATCTTTGGAAAATCGTCAAAAACTTCATTAGCATGTTTATGTTTTTAAATAATAAAATACAATACATGGTTGCTTGGAGATATGACATTTCTCTCAATTCAATTTGAGAATATCGATATAACGAGTTGAACACTCGAAGAGAAATTTTATATCTCTGCACACCATGTATTATTCCATATTTAACTGATCCTCACCTGTTTACAACTTGAAACAAAGACAAGAATCTTGCTTTTGATGTGATTACGAATAAAGGAAAATAGAAAAATCCAGCTTCTCAGGAAGTTCACAACCACATAACTCTACAGGGAAAGGAAACAAAGTCTAGTTAAGATTTTCCTAAATATTTATATGACAGCAAGGCAGGCTACTAAACAATGTAACATATTTTGAAGATAAAGTGAATGAAGAGTTTCTTACAAGGCCAGCTGTAATTAATCATTTCAAACACAAAGCTGCCGATGTCATTGACATTTTACCTGTGTGAGATCCTTTAGGAGTACTTGTTCTCGAGTTTTCGTGCACAGCAATGTATTCAGGATCCTAACAAGATATTATTTTATAAGTTAATCTAAATATAAAGTGTAGTTATATATTAGATAGTTCAGTCCAATTATAAGGGACAAATTCCATAAAAAAAAAACTACTAAAAAAAACAGTTAATGGTAGTTCTTTCCAGGCTGACTGTGGACTCTTTCTAAGGCAGACATCCTCGGGACCAGCTCAAGCTCTCCGACTTAGAGAGGTATCCATCTTAAAGGGAGTTTACTTATAGAGAAACAAGTGAAATTCAGCTGGGACCAGCCAGCTAACCATGTCCGCCTTATAGAGGTGTCTACCTTACAGTGGTGTTTCGCTTTGAGAGAGTTGATTGTAATAACTGGTAACAGCCATGTTAATTCATTTGCCAGTGGATTATAAAAGCTACAACTTTATTTACATTTGTACAGAGAACAAAGTTTTATACCTGTCAGGCTCAATCTTGCTAGATCCTGTACTGACCTGTCCAAAAATGAATTTCAATAATTTGATAAACTTTCATGTGAAACCTCTATTAAGGGGACACCCTTGGGACAAGGGGAAGTTTCCCCTTAATAGAGGTGTCCTTTAATAGAGGTAATATATTACAAAGATAATTTAAAATGAGGCATTAATTTTGACCACCCCGACTACCACCCCGACTACACCCCCATGACCACCCTGACTACCACCGATGACCACAGCCACAACCACTGTCAAGACCACCATGACCACAGTGACCAACACCATGACCACTGCTACGACCACCACCATGACCACCAATGCGACCACCTCAACCACTGCGACCACCACCACGACCACTGCGACCCCCACCCTACCATCATGACGCACCACCGTGACCACCGTTATGACCACCACTGTGACCACCACCACCATGACCACCGCCACAACCACCACTGCGACCACCACAACCACTGCCAGGACCACCGCCACGACCACCATTTCAAACCCAAAGAAAGCCTTCATATCTCCTGTCATTAAATATACCTGATATATACCTCTCCCCCTGGGTGACGACAGAATGGGTAGGGACACAGGGAAATTAAAAAGTTCTAAGAGAAATGTCATTAATTAAAAACATCTTCTTGTACCTTGTTTGAGTTGCTGAATAAAGCATGGTCTGTCTCTCTTCTGGTAGATTTTTCTATAATGGCATTCAATGTAGAAGCGAAACCCATATCTAGAATTCTGTCTGCTTCATCTAACACTAAATGTAACATGCAAAAATATGAAAATTACAGGTACTCACTTTTATATACAAAAAGTACAGACAAAACAACAAGGAGCCCAAAATGTGACCACTTTTAATTAATTCACATTATTTTGTGCACACATACATCGATGTATGTGTGTATTTTCGGCCTTCTGATTGGATAGTCTGCATGTGGCTTCTGATTGGATAGTCTGCACGCACAAAATAATGTAAATTAATTAAAAGTGGTCACACTTTTGAGCTCCTTGCTATAATGGTACAATAATATGTCTCCTTCAAATTGCAAACTAGGAAACAAACTAGGAAATTATCTATCAATAATGTGGCATTAAGGGCCGTTGACATATTCCCAATTGCTCCGCTTACCATCCACTCAACAGATTTGGATTTGGGCATTTGGGGCAAAAACAAAGTTCAGGCTTTAAGAGATCCGGCATAAGGTAGCAAAAACACGGCGGTCGTCAATTCTCCTTTCCTTGTTGAACAGTCGAAAACAAGATCGCGAACAGGAAAGGGGTACACACAGATGTACCTGCGAGCCACGTATTACTATAGTTAAAGTAGAAATTTTATTACCAAGAACTTGTAAAGAGTTGCAGGTGAAGCCTGGCGTCTCATCCATGTGCTGGAGCAGTCGACCAGGAGTACAAACTACAATGTTTGTTTTCTAATTCTTTCTTGCTCATGTTTCAGGTCCTGTTTAAAATAACAACAGTTGGGCTTACATGTATAAACAGCTAGCGTCTTTATAGAATGTGTGGTTCCAGAAAATATCCATATACACCCCAAGGAAAGTCAAATGGAAAATCAAATTCTGAGGGGGAGGGGGTCTCAAAAGGCAAACATTTTAAAGGAAAGTATGAAGCTAAAC